TCTACAGTGAGAGCCTTGCTGCAATTAGTCATGGAGAAGACTGCCATCATTTTCAGGGAAATTTTCTGTTCCCTGGTCAGCTTGGGAAAAGCAGGCAATGCAAAGTTTATACATTCACTACGTGAGCTTGATCAGGTGTGGAGTAAATGCACACCACAATCCCTGAACTCATTAATGGGCCTTAGCCTGTAGCTGCTACTCCTAGAGATCCGTTATGTAACATCAAATGACTTTCCATGGTTAAATGTCATGTTTGTACAGAAGTATGGTTAAGATATGGTGGTATTTGCAGTGATGCAGGTAGCAGAGCTGAAGAGAAAGGACAAGATCTGGATTTGGTTTAAAGCAGATTTAGATGTTGCCTGATATCTCTGGGACATTTAGACCTGTAAATAGTTGTCCTATTTACACAATATTATGGTACGCAGTAAGATCACTCACTCAGGTATTTTTGCTTGTGATGGGCATTTCTTTGAGAAGTTGTCTGAAGTTGTCTTGAAGGTTGAGAAGGTAAATTAATGCCATACAGTGTTAATTTTGTCTGGTACACCATCCATTGTTAATTTATTTAATGATTGGTTAATCACGGGTACCACCTTGATCCCCATACTTAAGCCAGAAAATTGCTTTCTTCAGAAGTGTTAATTTAAAGTGCAAACTCACTGAATTTTTCAAAAATTCAATCATCCTCCTCCATTACTTTTCTAGGCCAGGATCAAACTGTGTGATACCTTGCAGACTTGAATAGCTTGCCAGCATTTATTGTCTCACTTTACACTTGGATAAATGCCACCTGTGTGAGGCAGCCAAAGGGCAGCTGGGACATCTGGAATTATACTTGAGCACAGCCTCACACTTCAGAGAGGAATCTATCTCCAGCCATCTGTACATATTTTTTTCTCTGGTAGTATCAGTGGAGAGAGAATCGGTTATGTTTTAAGTCAATTACTTTCACCAGAATGCTCATGTGAAAGGTCACTGCCTAAAACATTAACTGTGTTTCTGTCTGTCTCCACAGATGCTGTATAATCTGATGAGAATTTTCAGAATTACATGTAATTTCCTGTATTCACAGTATTTTGGTTTTTGTCAATTCTTGTGTCAGACTGTGGGCTTGTCTGAACTGTCTGGTTCAAAGTAGGATGCCGTCTGAGTTTTAAGTTCACTTTTGGATAAGTGTTGCACCTTTGCATTTCCTTCAGGCCACTTGACTTTTAACTGTATCCCTGCTTCCACCACTCATAAACTGTCTTGGGAAATCTTAGATTGTTTGTTTGCTTGCTGTTACCATCACCCACAGAAATGGAAAGTAAGGATATTAAATCCTATTTTCTTTGTAGCTGTGCTTTAGTCTGTTCCCTCCACACTTCACTTCGCTGCATCACTTGGGTGTAGCTGCCATTTGCTCCTTGCGCCTTTGGTTATTCATGAGCTGCAAATTTACCTATTCCTTGGTCTCAGTCTATTGTTTCTACCTCATCTTCCAGCAACATGCCTTCCTTCCTGATCCTTGATTTTTGGCCTTTGGAATGTTGGCCACTAAATTTTAAAAACTCAAATAAAATCGATAATTTTAAAAATGTGAATATTGCAGAAGTGGTTCATTCTTTCGGTCTTTAGAGTTGCAGGAAGTGGAGCATTTAGTATCACTTCCCCCACTCCTTCTCCTCCTCCTCCTTGCCACACTGTCTCCAAAGGGAGTTTCCTGATCTCTGTAGCAGTAACAAGAAGTAATGTTCAGTGGCCATTTGCTTCCACACAGCTGGGCAAAGAAAGATGCCCCAGGTACCCCTCATAAGCCTTTTAATAGCTTCTTTATGAAAAGACTTTGTTAGAGACTTGGGAGTACTTTGCTATATCGACATTCTTGGCTAAGAGTGAAGTACAGCATGGAGTGAAAAGGAGAACTAACACATTTTCTGTATGAATAGTTATTAGTTGCTTAACTTATGATCTGTTACACATATGTACCTTATTGGAAAGTTTTGTCAACTTCCCTCATTGGATGTGCTCATGTCCTAAAGCTGCTTTGTTTTTAAGTATTAAGTGTGCTTGCATGAACATGTTTTTATGCATGACAGTTCTTGCTCTTCACTGTGGAATCCTTGTGACTTGGATTAATCTCTTAATGAGGAATTAATGCATGTTTCCTTTAGCAAATGGTCAACAGCCTTCTCAATATTCCCAGTCATTACCAGACTTTTAAAATAAAGATGTGCTACTTTCTCTGAAATGTGAAAATGCATGTTTTAAAAGGAAACTTGTTCAACAGTGAGATGAACAGATGTTTGCTTAACACTTTTAAAATCTATAATTTATTACATGCACAACAGAACATCATAAATTAAGCAACTAATAACTATTCATACTGAACATGTGTTAGTTCTCCTTTTCACTCCATGCTGTACTTCATTCTTAGCTAACAATGTCGATATAGCAAAGTACTCCCAAGTCTTTAACAACATCCTTTTGTAATTAAGCTGTTAAAAAGCTTATGAGGGGAACCTGGAGCATCTTTATTTGCCCAGCAGTGTGGAAGCAAATGGCTGCTGATCAGTACTTCTTTGTAGCAGAAACAAGATCAAGAAACTCCCTTTTGAGGACAGTGTGGAAAGGAGAAGGCAGTGGGGGTGAAAGTGATACTATAAATGCTCAAGTTTGTAGTACTACGGTAGCACGCAACATTGGAGTAAGCCCTGTTTTGAGTCATTTAACCAAGGTATGTCCAAGTTTTAAAAACTATAGACTCTGTTTGGTATTTCACTGAGAGGGAGATTGACCTTTTAAAATGACAGTTAAAAGATGCTAAAACTAATTAAGGCTCAAGCTTATAGTCTTTGAGAAGTTGAAAGTGATGTGCTGTTTTGTATTCTTTTTGCTTTCTTGCAATTACAAGTCTTGTAGGTAAATTTGCCTGATTTTTAGCCTGAACCTTTTTATGGTTTGATAGTAGGTTTTTGGCTTCTGGGTATGATAGTATATCGTAAGCTACCAGCGCACAATTCTAAGGGCAACTGTTAATCCTGTCACCTTCTGCTTTGATCCGGGGAAGTGCAGGTTGTACATTTCTATTGTAAAGGTAGCATTTAGAAAATACAATACTTATTGCTGTTGTGGGAGTTTGCTTTGCACCTGACTGACTAGCATTTCCTACGTTAGAACAATGCCCACACTTTACATCAAAAGCTCTTCATTGCCCATAAAGCACTTTGAGGTCTAATGGTCATTAAAAAGCACTATGTAAATGCAAGTCTTGTCTTTCTTTCTAAGCTCTGTGCTAAAATGAGAGGACACAGTTATTAAACAATTCACATCCTGCTAACCTGTCAAGAATATTGTGCCTAATTAATTTCCATTTCTTTATACAGGCAGAACTAGCGCCTGCCGTGTTTCAACTATTTTCAGTCCCAATCATCATGCATTCCACTGCCGACTCAAGCACGTTTTATTGTAGAGAAGTCCTGTGCATGTGAGTTGAGCGATTATTGTCCTGTCAGTCTTGGTCTTTAAGAGACTCCAATGTTCTCTAGGGAGGTACCTTTTAAAAATTGAGTTTGGGACTTTTTCCATGTCTTGAGTACCCACAATGTTCATATTTACATTTGTCACTAGGTTTTGAGAGATGTTTTCTCTGGTTCAGCACGTCATTTTTCAGTTCAATCTCGAATGAAAAGTAACTGATTTATTTTCTGAATATAGACTCGCCTCATCTGGATGAGCTTTCTTACCAAAACAGTTCAGCCTTTGAAAACAAATAGCTTTTGGCGGCTGTTGTTGTGAAATCACAAGGATTGCATCCTCTTGAAAGAAGGAGTACTCACTGTGGATATCTCTGCCCTCAAGTTAGTGATGAGGGGCTGAACCATTAAGCTGTTGGTCAGCATTTTCACTCCAGTAGCTTTACTTTTTGATCAGACTTTCCAGCATTTTTCTAGCTATGCATGCTGCTGTGAGAGCAGCATGGAATAGCATCTTCACGGTCTTTTCACTGAAGCTCAACTTTTTTTTTGTGATTTTATTTCATCACTTGATTACCTAATTAAAACTTAACCAGGATCAATTTATTAGTTTATTGTTGTGTTTGAATGCAGTATTCATGAAATATTCAATTAGACTAACAGGCAAAATCTAATTTACCATATTAAAACTGCTGAAAGACTATATCAATGGAGAACGTACCCTATTTATTACAGATGCCAGGTGTCAAACTGTATCACAGCCTTAGACCCAGCAAGGGTCTAGGCCCGAAACGTCAGCCTCTCTGCTCCTATGATGCTGCTTGGCCTGCTATGTTCATCCAGCCCTGCACCTTGTTGTCTCGGATTCTCCAGCATCTGCAGTTCCTACTATCTTAGACCCAGCATTCTGGTTGTTCGTGGATTGCCTTTAGTATGAATGCTATCTTCAAACGATGTCTATCAGTTATGCCTTTGGACATCCAAACTCCTTTTCTTACAGATGGACTACCATTTTCCATAAATAGTGGTAACAGTGGTTAGCATGGCCATGTATGTAACTCTGTTGAGAAGTAAGTCACAGGAGAACAGTCATGTCACTTTTGTTTCCTAAATAAAAGTTGCTGACCAATCATAAACGTCACTATAATGACACTGCTTTGACTCATGCATAAACTTTTTAGTTTAGCAATTAAAAATACAACATCCCACATGTGGCTAGTGACTGACTTATTGGACTACAGACAAAAATAGCTATTAGGCTTTATGCAGCATAGCCTACTTGTCAGACACACTTATGTGAACCAGTATTTTTATTTAAATTGTGGCAAGCCCAGTAAACAGATTTATACAGAAAGTAATTTGTTTAAAATATGAAAAGACCTGAATCTGAAATCCTTGTAATCTTCTCCACATATTCTTATAGCCCCAATTAATAAAGATATATGATGCATGGGAAGATTCCTTACAGCAGTGCTTCCCAAACTATTTCCTACTGATATCCAATTTAACAGTTTGAAAATAGTCGTGAGCCCTCAATAAGACACGAGAGTGGGTTTGAGAATTGTGTGGGCAGGGGCCTATTAGAGAGGGAGCATAGCTGTTAAACTCGGTTAGAGCTCCCCAACAACCTTTTGTCTCAACAGTGGACCCAAACCTTCAACTCTCAACCCTATTTGAGGTTCTCAGCCCCACTTTAAGTCATACCTTACGGGGCTTGCTTTTGGCAGATGTTACTGACAATGGAACTGAAGAGTTTGAGAGGATCTGTACTGTAGCTTGGTAAATCTGAATGTTTCTGTCTAAGTTCAATTAGTACAAAACCAGGTATAAGTCTTAATGCACATTTCACATTAAGTGCAGAAGTTGTGGGATGAAGTCCTCCTGGATTTCAGCACACTGTAGACTGAAATTTATATTGAGGGTGTAGAATTTTTGGTGATGTTGCTTTTAAGTGACACAGAGGCCCCTGTTATACCTGTTTGGATAGAAGATATGTAAGATTGCATGAAGTTATTTGTAGAAGAACTGAGACTACTTCCAATCTCTTGCTCAACATTCTTACTGCAACTCATGGTCATTATTGGCATTTTACATCAAACGTGTTAAGATCTGTTTGAGACCTATGACAAGGTGCTATAGGAGTACAAGTTCAATCTACACTTCAGAAAATTTGTATTGGAACATATATTTTGTAACCAACAGAAGTGTTTACATTTTTCTGTTCAATTTGATTGGTCCTTGACTGCAATGAAATGGTCCTGTTCATCAGTAAGAAACTGTGCTTGTAAAGGGTACAGGTTGCATATGGGGCTGCAACATTCTAGCTTTTGAGTTTTTTTCCCAATTTCCTGACAATGCAGAATGTTTCTGCACTTTTCCAACTGCTCCATCCCATCAGCAAGGCTACAAAAAGCAGATCATGTTATATCAAAGTGAGCTCTAGCCAGAAACCACCAAAAATAACTTAGACCTATATGGCATCTCTAAAATTACTGAATAGTTAGAGATGCTGCCTTTCAGTTGAGCAACTGTACTAACATGTCCTCATGGTAAAAACTGTCTTTCCACAAAGTCAACACAGAGCAGTAGCCAACTTTGAAATGCAGATATACTTCTACTGTATTCTAATCCACATTCTAACTACACTAAATTACAAGGAAATAGAGACATTTCTAATAGACTATTTTTGGAGACTACAAATTTTTTAAGTTCCTCCTAGTGACGTCAATTTGAGGTGAATAGACAAACCTCTGTTAGCCTTCATTTCCTTCTGGCTTTGTCTATTTGAAAAAGTAATTCGAATTAGTTGGGGTGCAGTGGTTGTAACTGTATAGCGTATTCAGTGATCACTGACAAGCCCCTCCATGTGTACTTTTTTTTTTGCTGTATGACTCAAAGCAGTATCACTACTTGCTGTGTTTCATACTGCATGATCTGAAACAATCTTAACTTGAAAATAGCAAAATTAGTTTTATCCAACACCTACCAGGAACAAGTGTCACTGGTAAATCAAAAACGCCAATTAATGGAGGGAATACTAACTTTGTTAGTCACCACTTACAATTAAATAATTTAAGTTCCCTTAGTAGATAATAGGCCCTAGGGAGATTTACATGGTCTTGGAAGGCAAAAATATAACTGGGTACTGCAAAATATTTTAGCTGTGCTATTAAAGCTCTATGGTTAGCCAAAGCTCAACTTGCTCTCTCAACATTGCTCAGTTATCACAGACACAGCTTCTGGATGGTCACGTGCACAGGTTAATCAAGAATGGAGGTAAGGGATTTTTTAAAAAGCCACCTTCTGAGATACCTAAAAATAAAACCACAGATTCTGTGGTTTTAAACAAACAAAATTAAACTTTGTGTAATAAAGTCACAATAGTTGGTCTACAGCATAAACTCCAGAATTAATAGGGTGTAAGTAAGGGTACAAGGCACATTGGTCGAACAGCCCAGAGCACATCAAATGGGAAAAGCAGTTCCTACTATCTCTGAAACAATTTTAACCCCACTGCGAAGCCTCTACTAAGGACTCCAGCATCTGTAGTTCATACTATCTCTAAGACATGCTACAGATTTCTCTAACTCCCTGCACTTTGGTGATGCTGGTTTGCCAAAACCCATTAAAACTTGGGTATCCTTTATTAGGAATTCCTTTGGAGGCCTAACTTCAGAACTTCCTCAAAAAGTAGCTCCATTACAGACTGCCTCAGTGTTTGCTCATATGCTGGTGGTTCACCCTTCTTTTCTGAGGGCTGTACTCCCCTGGATTCTTGAGACTGACCTGAATCTACTAACAGGCACAGTTCTGGTTTTTCTGCAGATAGCTAGCTTTGTTGAGGTTGTAATGTCCCAGGTTTTTCAGAAGTCTACTATTTCTCACTGCACCATGCAAGTACTGTTTGTGAGCCTCCCTCACAATGCAACAAATCCCCACCCTGCAGTGGATCATTAATGGCTCACTTGCTTACTTTGTGAGACTCCCAGGCTCTTCCTGAGCCCTAACCCCAACACTTAGCTGCACATACTGGCTCCCAGGATTTCTGAGCTTTGATTTCTCAGAGCCGCTATACCAGAAACCTCCTCTTCATTAACCACCTCATGTGTCTTGTCTTTTACGGCTGCACCTTGGTAAGGTTTTCATGGTAGCCCAGGTCCTGTGGTCTCCTTTTTGTGTGTTCCATGTCCCTGTAGGCCCACTGCTGATGACCCAGATAACTGGACGCCTCAGAAGTTTAAAAGGATCCCTGGACAGAGCG